ATAGATAATCGTTTCACTGGTGAAACTAATAGAGTTTTAATTAAAAATATTTATTAGACTTACAATCTGATCTCGTGCTCCAAATGGATGAGATTCCTTTCCCTTATCCTTAGGGAACATTTCCATGTGCATTCTTTTTTTATCCAGTTTTTCGATCGTCTGGTGTCTATTTGAGTCTGAGATTTCTTGTTTTTCAGGTGGTCCATGCTTCTCGAGCACAGGGGCCTTCATATTTTCAAAATTATTTCCGCCTCCTATGGGTGAAAAGTTGTCCTCCCCTGAGCTAGCCTTACTGCTGATGGATCTCGAGCTACTGCTGCTTTTATTCGCCTCATCAGAATTGTCAGCATTAGCCTGAACATCTGTATCCACTCTATTTGACATATTCACTTCTTGTACTGCTGTATTCTGGTGCATACCACCGGTCCCTTTGGTTTCTTCACTTTCAACCCTAATTCGTGCATGCTGGTTCCACCAGTCAGGTCTCGGCAGCAAGTGAGCCCGAAAAGGATGGTCAGCCTTCTGTTCTGGATGAGGTTCATGCGGCATTGCATGAAAGTGGGTTGGACGGTGGGGGTGCATGGGATTGAGGTTTGGGTGAGGCCCACGCTGTGGTAGATCAGGCCCCGGCATATGTCCCGCAATTTGCTCGTTTCCGGCTCCTATGATTGGTTCTAGGACGTCGTGCCTTATAGGTCTTATAGGCCTGCCTGAATGCATCGGTGGGCCGAAATTCCGAGGTCCTATACTCGAATGCCTAAATCCGCCGGTGAAATTTTCATTCGGACCAAGAGCTAACTGTTGAGTACCAGAGAATTGGCTGGCCGCAGGAGAGAATAAGTTAATTAAGAAGCCAATCCAACAGATGAATCCTTGAATTTTGCCCATATTGTGTATTTGTATGTATGCTATCTCTTATGCCCACTTAAGGGATTCTGCGTTTTTGCCTGACTGTGACTTGTTTCTCTATAAATGTGCAGAGAAGATACAAACAACTTGCGTTTAAAATTGATTTCTTGGAGTGGCCTAAATACCATTTTTTGGCTTCCTGGCTAGGCTGTGTCATAAATCACATATTTCATGCCAAAATATGCGATCGACAGGAAACCAGCATTTCTTGAGATTGACAGCTTGCACATATTTAATTGATCTCCACCCTTTATATGAATGCATCTCATGATTCTTAGTCCAAATCGACTATTCCATTAGCTAGATGATTAATATCCCAGTTGGTATATATCAAATCAATAGACGTCTTGCAGAGCATGCATCTAATAACTGCGATTGCCAATGGAATCTAGGACCGAGTTAATACAAAAATCCTGGCATAACGCCCCCCTTCAGGCATCAATACATTTTAAGGAAACCTAGATAATATTTGGCTTTATGCAAAGCATACTACGTTCACCATTGTGCAACCGTATATAGATGGCTATCAGATCGTATACTGGCTAAACAAGGGAGTTACGAGATTTCCTGAGGGTTTAATTTTCCTTTTTCCTTTCTGTAGTAGCAGTATTTAACTTCTTGAAGAATCATTGCATAGTTGGGAAAATCTGCAATTTCGTCACTACCAAACTTCTCTGCTTTAAGTTTTATGTACAAAATAGACTGTTATGTCAAATATATAACTTAATTCACATAATAGATTTTATTAGATTACAGCCAATGAATAAGTTTATCGCGGTCTGTAAGGTAATTGGAAGTAGTTCATTCCTATTCATTACTAGTGCATCCCAGAACTGACTCTCTTGTTGAAAAGGTTGTTAACGCGTTCCCTATCAATTCGTTCACCAGCTGGCAAGAGAAATAATCTGATGGCAAGCTAAAGTCCTACTTTTAACAGGCCAGAAATTCTCAAGCTCTCGACAAATAATTAATCACTTGAAGAAATTAGCCAGTGCTAGAATACATGATTTGCCTATGCTTTCAATTCTTGATGAGCTAGTTAATATATAGATACGAAGAGAAATTTAGTTTCGATGAATCTCTTGAGATAACATTGTTAGGGGGACTTTCATTTCGGATGAAAGTGCTGAGCTTTCGTCCATCATATGATGGACTTCATCAGAGCTAGGTGTCATTCTTGTAAAAGTCTTACGTCAATACTAAAGCAAGAACACTATCCGGCTCTATCTTACTTCTTATATAGAGTCAATCGAGCCAAAAAATTAAAAAACCTAGATACATCGATATAGAGTGATTTGGTTAATTTTATTTCATACAGGTCCTGTTATTTTTGCTCGATTGTATGAGTATGTGTATTTGTGCGTGTAAGCGTCTATATGCAAAACGGTTCCTAAATCAGAGTTGTCAAAGCTTAAATCTCAGATTCTGATTCTCAAGACCTAATGACCCAAGATAAATCCTTGACCAAAACTGCGTAGGTCCGTAAACAAGTAGGGTTGAGATAATGAGATATGAGCTTGTAAGCATGAAAATCAAGTTACTAAATCATTTGTCCTAGACTTTCAGTCCATGATCATTAACGCTTAACCCTCCAAGGAAAGGCAAGACTGTGATTGCGTAATCTGACATGTCTGGTTTGGTTTATGAGCCTACTCTAACATGTTGGACGAATTTAAGTGAAGTTAGAGCCATCACAGAGCAGACAAATTAAGAGAGAGGGTGTTGAGCCGCCGTCAAAAAGAAGGTTACACAATTTGTCTGCTCGGTGATGGTTCTAACTTTACTCTTATTCGTCTAACATGTTAGAGTAAGCTCATCAACTAAAACAGACATTTCAGATTACGCAACCCAGTCTTGCCTTTCCTTGGAGGGTTAAACGTAAATGACCCTAGACTGAAAGGTTAGGACAAATGGTTTCGTAATTTGATTTTCATGCTTACAAGCTCATATCTCATTATCTCAACCATACTTGTTTACGGACCTACGCAGTCTCGGTCAAGAATTTATCTTGGGTCATTAGGTCTTGAGAATCAGAATCTGAGATTTAAGCTTTGACAACTCTGATTTAGGAACCGTTTTGCATATAGACGCTTACACGCACAAATACACATACTCATACAATCGAACAAAAATAACAGGACCTGTATGAAATAAAATTAACT